GAGAGAGAGAGAGAGTGTGTATGTTGACAGTCAAAAAATTTCAATGATAAATATTAATTAATGCACAAAAAACTCAAATTTAGCTTCCAAGGACTCTCAAGCGTTGGAAGTCATCCATTTTCTCACCAATTTTACCTCTGAAACCAGGAGACCCCCACCTCCATGAAAGGAAAATATCTCAACTTCTATTCAAGATAGATGGGTATTTTTGTCATCAAAAGCAAGACAAATGAACAAGCTTTTATATGAAAGCAATAACTTAACATGCCCAAAAATAGATGTGCACCTTATTCCATCGAGTCATGACACATATTATAAAGAATTTCCTTTATTTTCACATTTACTTTTGAGTACGAACAAACACTTACTGGATTTTTTGCTTTTTCAAACGTGCTGTTAATTGCACCAATCTGACTTTCTCTGTCTTTGTAAAGATCTTCTTCTTTCATGATCTGTTTGATCTTGAAACCAACCCTGAGAAAAAAGATCAAGAGAAGATGAAACGATTTTTATCATCTTTAAAAAAAAATTAAATGCAACAGCAAGAAGTTAGTTTTCATTACATCAGCACTTCACAGAAGTCTGATCTTAAATTCCTTTTCACATAGATTACTACAGTAACAAAAAGTAGAAAAACACCATAAGAAGTCAAAGAAAAAGAGAAAAAAAACAGAGAATATATGAGATATGGATGAAAAAACATAGCCAATCTTATATGTCTGTCATATTTACACAAAAATAGTTTACAGCAATACCTTTTTGATGAAACTTTATCAAGTTAAGAACTCATTCTGATGTCTTTTACTGTACTTTCAGAGACACAATAAATTAAACTACCTTTATAGCTGCACAGAGGATTTACATGTAAACATTTCTCCAGTATATTAGTCTGGATTTCATGGATAATGGTGACGGTATGCTGGGTTTAACGCATAAAGCAAGTCAGATTAATGATTTTTTTCAATAATTATTCTCCTTCAGGGCTTATTTGCTCTTACATAAAAACAAAAAACATCACCCAACTCCTCTATTGTTCATTCGGTTACTTTTCCAGTAGTATCAACTATATACAGTCGAACCTGTATAAGACAGCCATACATTGTCAAGGAGAAAAGTGGCTGTCTTATGCAGGACTGATCAAGATGAAGAAAAAAATTACTCCCGTCTAGGGTCCCAACAGAAGTTAGCCGCATTGTTGTTGTTGTTTTCGTTGGTTTGTTTTTTGCTTGCTTTTTAAAATTTTGCCGCTGATTTTGCGCAAAGGTGACAATAAAATGAACCGTGTCAGACAAGTAAGACCGAATGCCACGTTAAAATATCCATTATTACTTTGTTACAGACTGGGTAAACAGTGACCAGTCATCTCACTTACAATTTGTGTATGAGTTCTGGGCGGGGCTTATGGGTTATGAGGGATTACACGCTTACCTCACCAGCAGCTGAAAATTTGTTACCTATTGGTCAACAGCGGAAGGGGCCAAAGCAACATGATCAGTTGGAGGGACTACCTAACAACGACGACAGGTGATTGGATTATGGCGACCCCCCCACAACACCAGGGGCAAATGCATAATTTATGACAAAACGTAATCTAGTTACCAAAAAGGTGGTCATCTAAGACAGGTGTTATTGTTTGATGAGATAGGGGTTGTGTGTTAAAGTATGGTGGCCGCGGTGGACAAGTGGTCGTTTTACACAGTGAAATTATATAGACAATATGCAAGGGAGGAAAAGAAAAGTGGCTGTTTGTAGAGGTGGCCATCACGTTAGGTTCGACCTTTGTTGAAAACATATGGAGGCAGAGTCAAAATTTGAATAAAGTACCCTCTTGCACAAGACGTTCCGTTGTAAATTAATACTAGTGCAGGCTCTAATGGGCAAATCAGTTAAAATTAACTCCAAGCGCAATAAGTTAACATTGAAGTAATCGTCAACGAAATCACAAGAAAGCAATACCCACAATGAAGTAAAAACAGTTTTCAGTCTCTTACTTGGCCTCTGACTTGTCAGCTTTTTGTATGAATCTGTTGTACTCTGTGGAGATGTACTCAGTCTTCCGCAACCAAGACACGTTGGTATTGTGATGTCTTGATCTGAAACACACACAGCAAAGCACCAAGCAGAAAAAAGAAAGTTAAACAGGTAGATAATGCTTCAGGAAAGAAAATTCTAATAAAGAGAAATGGAGTGCAATATCACCTACACCGCGTTATAATATTAGTTTGTAGAAGAAAGACTAATGTTTCACTTTCCAGAAAAGAAAGGAAAAAAGGCAACCCTGTGTACATCCAGCAGTATGATTTCTATCTTTATGCATTCCACATCATATGTGTGTATATATACCTAAGCCACAGACATTCTTCCTCACCTTTTTGAATCACCAGGTGTGTTGAGGTCTTCCTCCAGAAGCCTTTCATCTTCAGGTTCAGGATATGCTATCAAAAGCAAGACACACAAAAAAAAGACAAATAAACAATCACCACCATAAAGTGACAGGTCTGAAAAAGACATGGACAGTCAGCTCACTTCTCTACTAAGTTAGAACATGTTATCCTAGCCTTTCTCTTTTGCCCATCCCTTCGAGTTCTCAAAGTCAGTTGTTCTTGGTCCACCTATGCCACTTTTGCCTTCTGCTTAAACTGCATACATCTCTTCCTAATTGTTTTTCTGAGAGAGTTCCACGCAGGCTTCTTTCAGCACAACCTCACTTGATTTCTTTTCCTTTCATGATTCTAAAGGCTCAGAGGAAACCACATTGCTGGTGCTTCTAGAATATTTTCACAATCTTAAGTAATTGTCATGCATATATGAACAATAGTAAGGAAGAAAAAAAATTATCTTTCTGCTCTCTTCACTTTCATTTTCTATATTAAACAGTGCTTCCACCAGCTGAAGCTGAAAAGAAAAGGAAAATTGTGCCGGGGGTCCTGAGCCCATAGCAGGGTCCAAGGACAGCGTCCCGGTGGGGGTTCAGGGGGGGGGGGGGGGGGGGGGGCGAAGCCCCTGAAGAAATTGTAATTTAGTGCTTTTAGAGGGTTGAAAATGGCATTTGGGAGCCTGTTTGAAGAGATTGCCTGCAAACCATAACATTTATTTTTTCACCAACATTTTGTCTTGTTTAATTTCTTCTCCAAGATCTGCATAATATATTTCCATGGATGGCAATGTTTAAAAGCAGGTTCCCCTTCCATTGCTACTATAATTCAATTAATTTGTCTTCGCACCATTGATAGAAGGCAAACCTGGGAATAATGAATAGATGTGTACCTTCACAATACAGTTACTCCGGGAATACCCTAATTTTCCTTAAATTTCACGCCTGAATGTCGCATGTAACAACCTCGGAATACCACTTCGAATTATTCTTGACTTAGTAGTTTTAGGTTGGTTTTAGCATAAATTTCTTTCATCGTGGCCCTTATCGCATTCCCGAGCCGTAGAATCTTCGTATTGATCATTTCTCTAGATCTAGACAAATTTGTAAAAAAGTTTCTTTCTGATAGCGACAGTAATTTTCTGTCTAAGATCATAAGTCAATCTATTTTATCAAAACGCAGATTTTCCAGCCGCGGCAACAATCCGAAGATAGACCATAGATGGAATGAGTGAATGACGAACGATAGAAAGGAGGAAATTGACACCAAAAGTTTGCCAGATTTCGATCAATCCACAGGTAAAAATGTACTGACGACAAGCCCGTAATGAATGCATGGGGCATAGCAGAATAATGGCCGATTGCAGGAAATGCGCAATCTGGCAGGTTTCTATAACATTAACTTATTGCAGAGAGAATTACTGTAAATATCCGTAACTTATACTAGCACTAGACGATACGAAGGCGAGTACGGATCTTTTGCTACGGAATTTCTGTAGTCTACGCTGTTGCAGCTTTTTACGGAGGGAGTTGATAATGATGAAGGAACAAGTATTTCCGTTAAAAAAACGGAAGAGTGGAAACACTGATTAAAAGTCTTTGATCTTCAGGTCTTGGAAAAGCTACAAGAGGCATCATACACATTAAAAAATATCATATGTAGAGAAACATGATAAGCTTTTTTAAAAACTACAATTCTTTTGTTAAGATATATTAATTAAAAAGCAATGTGACATCAGGAATCAGCCTGTTCTTCAATTCTCAAAAGTAAAAATTGAATTGATACAGCTACCACAAATAGTGACATTTTATCATGAACATCTACAAAAGAACATTTTTTTGCAAAAGTCTTAAGTGAGGAAATACATTCCTTTCTCGGCCCCCCCCAAAAAAATAATTAAAAATTAAAAGCAGGACAAACAGTAAAAATAGAACCATTTATAGTAGATTTGTCTGCATAGGGGCAGAAAATTTACTAACTCTATACAGCAGTAGATCCAGATGTAAGACTACAAGGAAGCTCTACATCCACAAGAAGTTTCTTAGAAACAGTCAAAGCAAAACTCCTCCCAGTCTTCTTCATGCATCACAGTGAACACAGCCCACTGTTTCCCATTCCTATAGGGCATAAGCTGACACCCACTGTGACACTGGATTGCATTTTGAAAAAAGAAGCTATACTTTTACCAAATATGACCCCCCAAAAAAATCTTGCAAGCAAAGCCACTTGAGCTTCTCACCATTGAGGTCAATCTTGTATGTGTCAGGGTTGATGAGGTCAATGCCGACACCCAGGTCATGCTCTGTGAGAAGGTCATACTTAAATGACCTCTCTAAAGAAGTTGGTTTGTATGTGTAGAACCTGAAATCAAAGCAAACTGCTGTTAAACATAAAATACTACATGTTCCATCACTTTTTCTGCAATGCAAATTTTCAATCTGCTACTCCACGGACTGCTTGTGGGGTTTTTTTTTAATGGGATCAATAAGCCCATTCAATTTTTCGATGATCTGAATTGATAACATTGTGAATAATACATATTTTAAATCACTACACAAGCTGCAGTCTTCATGAACAGTAAATAGAGGAAACAATTTTTGTTAAAAAAAATACCAGTCAAATTGTCATAAAATTAAACAAAAAAAGAAAAGTACTACAGGATTGTAGACTGGAGTACATTCCCTAAGAGTTTCCATCATACACAAGACAACAAGCCTTTGATGATCTGTAAAAATAAAAGAGGCAACTAGGAATCCAGTTAAATATTATTGCTTAAAATTTGTATAATAAAGCAAATGTGAGGCATGGTGGTGAAATCGGGCGCTCGTCAAAATAATGAAATCAAAGAAATCTGCATTTTTTTGTCCAAAGGGCAATTTTTTTTTGTATTTTCTTTTTTTGGCTCAACACCTTTTATGTCCATTAAAAAACACATTATGGTGTGGATTTTACTATTTTAAAAATATTGATTAAAGGAAGAAAAAATTTTAATTGTCAGGGTTTTTTTTCGTTGTTGTTGTAGAGGGTTTTTACAGCGCTGGCAACTGCATAAGGTCATATGAGCGCCAAGGGGTAGGTGTCAACAGAGAAGTCTTTACAAGGAATCAGACTTAGACTATTCACCTCTCTAGCTTCAACAGGACAAGGTCTGCTTCGACTATCAAGGCACCCCAAAATAGCAGGCCACAAGAAAGTCACAAACATACAAAAGAAGTAGAGGAAAATCACATTAGTAAGAATCAGGAAAGAAAAAGCAGCAGTTCCCTGTTGTAGATCAGGCACAGTTATGAGCGTGACATGAGTCAGCCCATTTACAATTCTACTATGCTTGAACGAGAAATGTCGCCCCTTTGGGAATGGCCTTAAGACACTTCAGTCAGTGGCACTGCCCCGGGGGGTATTGTCAGTTTCCAAGGACTCTCAGGCGATGGAAGTTAACAAATTTTAGTGGCCATTTTCTCGGTAATTTTACTTCTGAAAACAGGCGACCCTGACCTTCTTCAATTGCAAACATTTTGACTTCTAATCTATTCAACATAGATGGATATTTTTTTTACCGAAAGGAAGGCAAATGAACAGGTTTTAAGATGATACCAATAACCCCATATGCCCAAAAATTGACGAGCGCCTATTCCACAACATCATCACACAAATACATTCTGTACACGATTTTTCCTTAAGGCACAAAGCAGTTTTTCAAGACTCAAAATCAGAAGAAAAGCATAATCACATTACAATGTACCATGGCTACAACGATTGAATGTTCTATTCTTAACCTCTTCACCTGGCCCGTAGAATTTAAGGGACTGTGATCACAGAGGTTGTTTTAATACCAATTATAAGGGAAGTTACTGTTAAAATCTCGTAATGACTATTGGGGTTTATGTTTATCACTATTTTTCCCCCCAACTTGAAAGCGTCAGGTTACGATTTTAGCTCAAAGAGAAGATTAGAACTAGATCTGTAACACATCGACCGCACAAAAATGAATTATTGGCAGTAAACACAGATGGGCTTACATACGTACATCTAGGATTGTACAAGAGTTGTATAAGGTAGGAAAAGCCTCTTTATCTGCAGACACTAACACAAGTTTTCCCCTTTTTTGAGTCTCAGTTTATCATTACTCGAATATGTGTTGTTTATGTTGTTTGGTGGTGGTGTTTTTGGCATCATGTTACTAACTCTTATGTTACACCATCTATCTCTCAATGAAATACCCTAAAATTATAACAAAGAAACATGGTTTAATGTAGAATGTACATGAAGAAATTCATGAGGAAATATTCATAAATAAAAAATTTACGGAAGGTAGAGTGGGGTCACCCCAACCGTCTTGATTCTTGGGATTTCCCCCGGCACAGGGGCCTATTTACCTGCAGCATTTAACGGGTTACGATATTGAAAGCTAAGTTACTGCAGCCTTTGTTTCCTCGTACAGCCCTGAATCTTACCTGTTAGATTCAAATGGATAAGTGATGAATTTTGGGTCAAACGGAATGTCCGGTAAAGTATTGTTGTACTTTACTCTGCACACAAGTTCTGATCTGTGAAGAGAAAAGAAGATTTTATACATCACCTCAATGTGGCATGTTCAGAACTAAAAATTAAAAAATTGTGTTCTCCCTAGGAAAAGTTGTCTTGTGCTCACAAAAAAACAGGAAAGGTAATTTATTACATTAACAATGAGGGAGGGTCTTTCAGGAGAAAATTTTTGACAAAATAATACTACTTATTCCATCAACAATCAAGACTCCAAGACCTAGAGACTAATGAAGAACCAAAAGTCAACTCACATTCAAAAGTGAAAAGCAAAAGAAGATCCTTTGTGCCCTTAATAATGTTTTCCTTACGACACAAACATGGTGCCTGGCAACACCCAATGGCCTGCGCTGGGACATGGCACACTGCATAGAATGGTGTTTTGCTCTTGTTTCATATGTACTACTAATAATATCCCACTCTTATCCTATCAAAACCTATGGAGATGGTGGGTGCTTCTGTGTGTAACAGCAAAGCACCTAACCACCACACCACATGCCAGATAGAGGGGATGAGAATGCTGGATCTAAGGATTTCCATTATGAATCTGTAACATCAGGGCTTGAAATAGACCGCGGCAATTTTCCCTGGTGCCTTTGCAATTTGCCGTAATGCCCATATTAAAATCAAAGGGTTAACCGCGGCAATTTTTGCCGTGCCCTTGTTTTTTGGGTTTTTTAAAATGCCACGAAAATAAATCTATATTTGTTT